GCGATATGCTGGCACAACAGATGATAAGAAATTGCGACAATAATAACAACAGCAATAGTAGACGCTTGTTCAAGCTATGGCCATGACAAACAATTACAAAATACCGACGCAATGTGTGCGATAAGAATGTGGCGAAAACACAGCCGGCGCCCTTCAACTTGACGAAACTTAGACGGAGAGAGAGAGAGAGAGAAAGAGAGAGAGAGAGAGAGAGAAAGAGGCAGACAGGATAAGTAGCGGCATATACTGCCTATGTATACCCTGTGGGTATATCTTTGTGGAAATAATTATTTAGCAATATTTGAAACAACAATAAAATCAGTCTTAGGTTTAAAAAAATAAATGAAATACCGGTTAAAGATTTTTTTTTACTAATAATTTGTATGTGCACAAAACGCAAGTCTCAATTTATAAACAATTAATTCAAGTGAATTTGACACTTTAAACCACATTAAATTTTACAAACGGTTTTGACAGGGCATACCCTAGGTGAGCACTCGCGATTCTAGCATGACTAGTTCAAGTGTTATCACATTTTCGTTTTAAGTTATGGCTGCAGCTGCGGATCGTGAAATCGTCGCAACGATGAGTCATTTTTTGTGGTTTCCACATATCGTACATGCAGCTGCGGAGTGGGTGGTTATTCTGTCTCTATTTCTCTCTCACTCTCACTCTCTCTTTCTGTCTGTAGCTTAATTCGAATACGCTTTTATATGCCCATTCTTTGTCTTGTTATTGTTTGGACATTGACTTCTTTTCCCTCTATAATCTCTGTTGGTCGGCTATCATTTAAGCCCAAAGTAAACTCCGTCTGCTAATTCGACACCATTCATGGAGAGCGATAAGATAATGTGCATGCAGGAGATATATGTATTAATGTCAACTCTACATATGCCAGCAAAATAATAAGCTGTATAGATTTTGTCGTTTGATGAACTGGGCTGAGTCGGCTTTTTTCTATTTATCAGGCAATGCCACTTAACCGATCCAATACAGTGGTCGCTCCCAAATTAGAAAGTTGCGTGCCCAAAGTTAATTCTAACTTGACCAAAATTCACGATTCCGTAAGCTCTATTCCATTATACAGGAAAATGAAAACATTGATTTATTTTATATACAATTTTATAGCTCTTTTAGAAAAGCCACTTAAAATAAGCAACGCCTCCTAAAGTTCTATATGGGTCTATAAAGGGCGTAGAAAATGGGGGCCCGAGAACATATTTAATTAGTTATAGAAAATCTGCTTTCGATGAACTTTAAGTGCTTTTAGAAATCCTAAAGCTTTTTTTATTACTAATAGGTCGCTTCCAATTTCTGTTCAAATCTATTTTCTGTGTGTTTTATAGCGACTATACAATTAGCAAAATTTTAGTTAATATAGCTATGCAAATATACGTACGCTTCATTTCAAGCTTTACGCTTTATAAATTTTCTGAAAAGTCATTAAATTACGTATATGCCGTGCAAATGGAAAATTTTTCGTTCTTCAATTATCCATTGCGTGTTTATGTGCATACCCTAAGTTTTGCATCAACTTTAATATTTGCGTTTGTTAAATTTATTACTAAAATATATTCTCGTCCGTGTTTTGGAAATGACCGGCAATGAGCTATATGTATAGTCAAACAAAGGAAAACCTCGCTATACAAAGTTAATATCTACTCGAAAAAAAGGTCATATAGAGCCATATAGAGAAGCATTAACAATTTGGAAGGAAGGTATTTTGGCACTTATTACAGAGTATGTAACGGGCGTTCTTTGTCGAGTGGATCAAACTTGTTATTGTTTATGATTGGCACTTTGGGAATCGTTTGCTAGTTCTGTACACTATATCCGTAGCTCGTCGAGCATTTAGTCATATATCGTTTCCGATCTGCTGTGTGCAAAGTCTTGTGGTCCCAGACATCGTAAACTTGATAATGTATGACTCACTCCCGATCTGTAGGGTAACGTGGCGATATTTAAGTGGCTGCTTCGCCAGTCGCTGACAATTGATTTCTCAAAACTGTGGATGTTCAGTCCTCACATATAATTCATCAACACGCAGAATGAATTCAAATTTCTATTAAATGTGTCTATAAGGAATCAATTGAAATCAATAAATGTAAAGCGTTTATTCATATGCAATATTAATGGGTAATAATAAGAAATCCAGTCTATAAAATAATCTGAATATGCATTCGTTTGCTTGCACAAACATATACATATAATTACATATAAGGCAGGTCTCCGTCTGTTACGCATCCAAGAGAACAGGCTTTAATCAGGAAATAAAAAAGTTTCATATCAGATTTTTAATACAATAAATATAAGATTCATGTTTAGTTCGTACACTTAACTAAAGCAATGAATAATGGAATTCAATTAGTATGAATATTTATAGTTCTTTGTTGGCTTAGCTTTAATGCCATTTTGTGCCCATATTATTATCTTTTGATCTTTTTTTATTTGCTAGAATTGTTATCACTGCGTATTGTTGCAATTGTAGCAATAAAGTTTTTATTTAATTTAGTTAATGTAGTTCTTGAAAAGCCATGGATTGGAAAGATACAATTTATTTATATTAAAACAGCGTGCTTTTACTAGCACGGCCATGTTAAACAGCTGTATACAGACTGTTCAGTTTGTGTACTCCCATACAAACGTATTTTTATTGCCTAGCTAAACCAATATACACAGACCCACAGACCTGCATATACTATGTATTCATATTTGCAATTCGATAATAGACTGTGTTTCTGAGAATGTTTACATAAGATTGTTAAAAGAAATTTTGCCGGGCTATACCTGAACGCAATCTAGACTCATGTTTATCCGATTAAGATTTCTTGAGTTTTTGCCAAGAATTGTATTCCTATATTATTTTCTCTCTTTCCCTTGGCAGAGAAACAACACATGGGCGAGAATAAGAACAGGAAAAGGAATACAATCAAAAACATCAATTGCTAACAATATATAGACATAGCATCACATTCCATATCAGACGACGTCATGCCGCAGAAGCAATTGCAGCCGGAGAAGGTGCCGCTAGGACGCACCATTGGCGCCTTCCTGTTTGGCCTGCTGCAGTCCTTCTTTCGTTTCGTCTTCCGTTTGATCTATGGCGTCAGCGGGGATCGCATGCCGGCCATAACGGATCCCATACACCTCGAATCGGCCACATCGCTGGCAACCAAAATTCGCAACCAAGAGGTGAGACACTTACTTTCCTACTACTTGCACTGGTCATTAATGCGCTTGTTCTTTTCACAGCTAAGTAGCGTTCAGGTTCTGGAATCGTTTATACGTCGCGTTAAGGAAGTGAATCCTTTGCTCAATTGCGTGGTGGACGAACGCTACGATGAGGCTTTAAAAGAAGCCGCCGCAGCCGATGCGCTCATCAAGTCCGGACAGTACACAGTGGATCAATTGGCCGAACTGAAGCCATTTTTGGGTGTGCCTATTACAACAAAGGACTGTATATCGGTTAAGGGTGAGCCTATAACAATAAATTTGGATATTTTAAAGGTACTCAACCAACGCTGAAATTTTCCCCTTCAGGCATGCTGCATACGGCTGGACTTTATTCGCGTCGCGAGTTGCGCGCCGAGAACGATGCTGATGCGATGGCATTGATGCGCAAAGCGGGCGCTATTCCTTTTGCACTGACCAATGTGTCGGAGGTGTGCATGTGGTGGGAGAGCAACAATACGGTGCATGGTAGGACGCGCAATGCATACGACACGAATCGCATTGTGGGCGGCTCCAGCGGCGGCGAGGGTTGCGTCCAGTCGGCCGCTGCCTCACCCTTTGGCCTGGGCTCAGACATTGGCGGTTCAATACGCATGCCGGCCTTCTTCAATGGCATATTTGGACACAAACCGAGCAAGCTGATCGTTTCGAATAAGGGCCAGTTCCCAACACCATTCAGTGCGGAGCAGAACTCATTTCTGGGCCTGGGTCCCATGTCACGCTTTGCTGAGGATCTGCGACCAATGCTGCAAATTATGGCCGGCGAGAAAGCAGAGCTGCTACAACTCAACAAGCCCGTGGTCCTGGAAAAATTGAAATTCTTTTATCAGGAGTCTGATGGCGGTGGTCGCATGGTGTCCGCCGTGGATGCTGATCTGCGCCAGGCCATGCGCCGTGTTGTTGAGCATTTAAGCAAGAAGTTTGGCGCTGAACAGGTGGAGCGCGTGCAGCTGCCACAGATACGACAATCGGCGGCCATCTGGTTTGCCAACATGCGCGATGATTCCGGCCATGGCTTTAGCTTTCAACTAGGCGATCTGCGCTACGATATCAACACCTACTTGGAGCTGCTGAAGTGGCTGGTTGGTGCCTCCAAGCATACGTTCATTGGACTGACAACGGCGCTGATGGATAGTGCACAGTGCCAGCACGGATCGTCCAAGTACAAGCATCTGGTGGCCAAGCGGGATGAACTGCGCGCCACACTGCAGCAGCTGCTGGGCGACAATGGCGTGCTCATCTATCCCACGCATCCCACTGTGGCTCCCTATCATAATGAGCCCATTCTGCGCCCCATTAACTTTTCCTATACGGGCATTGTGAATGTGCTGGGCTTTCCAGCCACAGCTGTGCCGCTGGGCTTGGGCAGCGAGGGTTTGCCTCTGGGCGTCCAGGTCATAGCCAATTTCAACGAAGATCGGCTATGCCTGGCCGTTGCCGAGGAGCTAGAGCGTGCCTTTGGCGGCTGGCAGCGTCCCGAGGTGCGGTTGTGAAACCGTTCTGTCTTAACCCAAACACAAACATACACAGCCGAGTGTATAGCTTTTAGTAGTAGGAAATTGTATCCTGGGCCCCGCAAATAACCCACCCACCACAAACCACTTACCATCGGCTCGTTAATTAAGTTTATGTACAGCCCGGTATACACAATGTTTGTAATTGTTGCACGAATTGTGAAACGAACCATCAGCATGTCCCGTGTCCGCATATTAAGATATATATGTATACATATATATGTATGTGCATGTTAGTGCCTCGTAATATCAATATTTCGATGTGGTTTTAATTGCTATTATATTTACTTTGTATACAATATGTTTTTAATCGTAAATTTAGCAGTAATCTAAGCTCACATTTGATTTTGCATTTAAAATAAAATTTGTTAAAAAGTGAAAAGGCGGGTCTAACCATTTTGTTTATAATCTAGTTTGGTAAAACTCTGACCAGCGTATTTCGCATGCATTGCAGTTTGTAAGGATCAGCGTACCTGGCATAAAACGTGGCAGCCTGGTCGCCCTGTGAATCCGAATGGAAGAATGTTAATTAACATTAACAAAACATAGGCTTAACATAACAACGTTAACTTTGAATTGCAGTTTCGGAGTCGCTGAAAAATTTCTATTCCAAATGAAAAATATCACGTATCCTATACATTTCTTGTAAAATGTTGCCAAATGACAGAAAGATTTTAAGGTTAAACAATTACAACACATAAGCAGCCAAAACACTAAATTACAAAATTGTAAAACCTTTTCGTACACTTTCAGGCAACACGCACGTCACAATCAAAATCAGACTGTGCGCCGTATACACAATTCAGACTCCACAAACACAACAACAAAATGAACAAAGCAGATCCCATATCGCTCAGTTTCCACGACTCTTGTCTGCGGATGTCCGACGTCCAACTGCTGCACGGACCACGCTGGCTGAACGATCAGGCATCTAGCTCGATTAGTTAATACCAATATCTATATATATTTATCAATTGTTTTGCAGATTTTGAGCTTCTTTTATGAGTATCTGTCGCATGTCAAGTACAAGAACAACAATGATCTGTACTTCATAGCGCCCGAGGTGACACAGTGCATGAAGTATATGGATGACTCCGAGTTGGCGCTGCTCCTGAACAAGAATAACGCTGTCTACAAACCATTTATTTTCTTTGCGCTCAACGATAATGGAGCCACTGAAGAGGGAGGCACCCATTGGTCGCTGCTGGTGCTCTCTCGACCAGAGCAGACGTTCTTTCACTTTGACTCCTATGGGAACAGCAATACGGCAACCTCCATAAAGCTGATGAACAAGGTGAAGGGTATGCTGGGCATGCGTTTGGCCCAGTTTCGTCCTATGCGTTGCCTGCAACAGGCCAACGGCTACGACTGTGGCATTCATGTCATCTGCATGACCGATCATATAGCGGGTTATGTGAGTCGCTACGGGATGATCGAGGGCTTACCCATATTGCACTTTGATACGGTGAAGGCCAAGCGGGCTGATCTGCTTAAGCTCATCTTGTCGCTGGGCGGCAGTTGTTAACTTATCTATTTTGATTGCATTGTTTGAAATGAGCTCTTATAAAAGTAACCTATTGTAATATATACTAAATACCGAATGCAGATGAGTGTGTATAATATGATCGATATGTTTACGCTTCTCGATATTGATATGGATTATATATATATTTGTTGAAATTATTGATTGCCGATCTGGCTGGGAATATGATATTGATATTAATTGTATTAATTTGATTAAATAATTGTTTGCTTGCTGTGGCTATGAACATAAGACTGACATAGATTATATTAAATTTTATAGATCATAATTAATTAAGTTGCCTCATCAGACATGTATATAGATCATATTAAGTTGCTCAATTTATTTATGTATTTGTATATTCATAAGTTTATTTTGTGCGCCTGATGCCTGCTGCAAACGCGATAGTTATACATATATGTATGTTATAATCAATTGTTTCAATTACTATTTACCATATCTGTTTGTACATACGATTCTGCTTTAGATCATATTAATTTGTTTTAATTATTGTTAGCCCGATCAGACTGGACACTGGTGCAAGACGAGCGCTTTTGACTTTTGTTTATTATGATTATCAGAACATATTATTGTATATGGATATGTATATTATATGATAAGAGTGCTCTCTATTTAAGTGTATATAGTTTTAATATACATTTAGTTTATAATTAGCGCTTCACAAAGTGTATTTATTCAACAGCAGGTGAAATTGCAGCAACAATATAGAAAACCCAAAAATGGAGCCTATCATTTGAAACCAGCATCTACGATTCACCTTGTAGAGGCCGCAAACCCAAAGGTTCAACTTTGAAGTACACACATATAGCACATAGGCATCCAGCTGCAAGGATAATATACGATAGCTATTAAATATATAATATTGTAGGTAAAAATCATGAATGATATACACCTCCTTGAACCAATAGCCCTCGCTAAGGACATGATGGGCCGAGCTCTGAAAACGTACAGTCTGATCGCACATGAAATTCAATAGGTAGAAATCCAGCAGGCGCATATTATAATTGGTGGCGCCAAAGACAAGCATATATATCGGCGCTTTTATGCTGAAGGAGAAGAGTATGCCCCAATACCCATAGACTACACAAAATACCAGATTGTCGAATCGGGTCGTCAGCAATAGCAGTCCATAGATCTTATTGATTCGCAGTGTGCAACGGGTCAGCAGACTGTGCAGTGACCACAGTCGCTGCAGCTCCTCCAGCTCAGCATTTGTAGGGTATCTCTGGCGCACACAGCTCATAAAGTGCTCCAGCTCTGAATTAAGATACTGATAGCAATAGGCAATGTCCCAAAGGGCTAGAAAATAGCGATAGATGGCCAACAGGGGTATATTCATAGTATTCCCGAAAAAGAAAGCGCAGATGATGGCCATCCAGTTAGTTATGTTCGGCATCATCAGGCAGGATGTCATGCCGGTCAAGCACAAATACAGCATAGTGCCAAGTTTTAGCTGAAATAAATAGGCCAGAGAGCCGCAGTCACCCTCGTTGTCTAGCACATTATGTACCTTTTTCTGGCCCTTCAACCTATTCACAATTCTCTCCACTTCCAGCAGAGCTTTATCCCGACTACCACGTGAGATTAGGGTATAGGCAACGGCTGCGTAAGATACCGTGTACAGTATGTATGTGGTATATATTATCAAATTGGGAAACGAATTAATTGTCTTTATGTAGTGTAACGAAAACCAGAGTGCCCCGGGCAGCAGTGAAAGCGTAAGGACATTCAGGAACAGCGCATAGGAGCGTGTCAGCCAGGTCTGTCGAAAACTGCCGGCCACCCGACGGTAAGAGGTAACACCCACGAGCAGAGCATAGTTGTGATAGCACTGTAATAGCCACGGCCCGACCATACTATACGGACTACAACGTAAAACTGAATATTTTATATGGACTGTGTCCTGCCTCGGCTCGTATGGGCTAATTAACAAAAGTGATGCTATCTTGGGCAGCGCATCGCCTGATGAAAACTGATGTACATAATAAGCATGGGTATTGTTTTTTCACTACCAACACGATTATATTACCCAGTTTTAATTATTCGCCTTTCCAGGAAGAGCAACTTCTAGTGTTAAAAGAGCCTTATGGAAGCTCTCTTTGTATGTATAGCCTATCCTATCCCATGGGATTAAAGGAGTAGTCGGATCTCTTAATAAATTATACATTTATATTTTATCGATTATGAATATGTCTTTATATTAGCTTTCTATATGTTCTCATGGAAGTGCATCACTGCTAAAAAGGCTGTAATAGCCCTTCTTCCGTCATATGGAAATCTTTTTACACACATCTACAATTCTTGGGCAAACAAACAGAAATATTATGCTGCCGTTTGTTCCCTTGGAGCCATGATAAATATGAGCGCTTTGGCTTGGATAAACAAATATTTATTCGAAATCCAACTAAAAATACATGAGTCGCACTTCTTTCAAATGTGCTGGGCTCGGTTTTGTCTCTTTTTCTAGTGCCAAGCACTGGGCCAGAGTAAATTATACAAATTATTATTATAATAAATATCGCATTCACATGGAAGATCAGCTTGCGTTCAACGTTTGCCATCCACCATATAAGGAATGCGTCGCACAGAACCTTACTCACCCGCTCTTTCACACTCACAAGTTGTTTTAAGCGTATACGGTTGAATCGTATTCACAGTGCATTTTACAATTAGTAACGTTTTATGAAAGGTCACTTAGAGCTACAAAAATGATAACAAAGTATTTAATAGTTTAGTCCTTGCCGCCCAGTGAGAGGATCAGCTTGAGCAGCTCTGCCCTCTTGGCCTTCACCGTGTCAATGTGCAACGTGGGTAAGCCCTCGATCAACTCGTAGCGATTCACATAGTCCGCTATGTGATCGGTCATGCAGATGACATGAATTCCACAGTCGTAGCCATTGGCCTGTTGCAAGCAACGCATCGGACGAAACTTGGCCTGTCGTACGCCCAACAACTCCTTGACCTTTGTCATCAGTTCCATCGAGGGGCCCGTATTGTTATTGCCATAGGAGTCAAAGTGAAAGAACGTCTTCTCCGGTCGAGAGAGCACCAACAGCGACCAATGGGTGCCACCTGCTTCAGTGGTTCCATTATCATTGAGCGCAAAGAATATGAATGGCTTGTTGACCGCATCATGCTCGTCGAAGAGCATCTCTAGCTCGGAGTCATCCATATACTTCATGCACTGCGTTACCTCGGGCGCTATGAAGTACAGATCGTTGTTGTTCTTGTACTTGACATGCGACAGATACTCATAATAGAAGCTCAAAATCTGAAATAACAATATATATAAATATACATAGAAATTGATATTGACTATTCGAGCTAAGTGCCTGATCGTTCAGCCAGCGTGGTCCGTGCAGCAGTTGGACGTCGGACATCCGCAGACAAGAGTCGTGGAAACTGAGCGATATGGGATCAGCTTTGCTCATCTTGTTGTGACTGCTGCTGTTGTTGTTGTTGTGGTTAAGTCTTCCAGCGTTGAGTCTTTGGATAGGCCGCCGCGCAGTCTGATTTTGATTCTGACGAGCGTGTTGCCTGCGAAAGGTATCAGGAAAAATGGTTGAATTGTTTAATTTCATTCATTCGTGTCTTTTTGTTGCACCTTAATATTTTTCTGTCGTTTGGCAACATTTTACAAAAAATTTTATCGGTATGGGGACTTTCTTTTTTTCTCTTTTTTTTTGTAATGAAACACAACTGAAGCAAACTCCAGCAAGCTACATACTCCGAACGTCGCCTTTCAAAGCCAACGTTGTTATGTTAAAGCTATGTTATGTGAATGTTATTTGACATGTTCCCTTATGCTTTCGCCGGGCGACCAAGTTGCCACAGTTACTGCACTTGCTAATTTAGGCGTAGTACGGTATAATAGGTATGCTGCTTAATAAAAATGATTGTAAAGCAAAATTCCCAATATGATGCGTAACAAATCTTATTATAGATAACCATTTTTAAACGTTCCTTGGCTTTAGTATTATGGCATGATTTTAATTTTTATTACGGCACAATATAATTATTGGCAAGTATTGAATAAGGAGGCAAATGTTTTTCCTATATTCGTGTACGTTGATTTTAATTGAAAACTATTGTTCACTGCCTAAGAAATAGTTTTTGCCTTCTAATAAATGTATTTAAAATAAAGAACAAACAAAACAAAACGTAACCTTGCGGCATTATTCGGCAGAATGAGCATAGCACAACAAAGGCGAAAAAGCAATGCGGCGAATTGGCCTCGAAAAAGAATGGGTATAAGAGGCAACACTTACCAAAAAAGATGGCAGACTCGAGTTGAAATTTATGCAGATTTCTTGGGGTTTTGTTGGGCTTCCTGAATTTTAATGGGGTTATCATTTAAGACTTGCAAGTTAATTCGTATATAATTTGCGCCGACAAATACGTCTGTAAAATTAATCAATATGAATTTAACACTAATGCGACTTGTACACTGCACTCTTGTTGGGAAATTGGTAGCAGCCAACTTAATGCATATTGAAAATTGCGCGCAGCCAACTTTAAGCAAGTTGGATATTGCGTGCAGCTAACTTCAAGCGAGGTGAATATTGTGCGCGGCGGTAGTATTCAAAAATGTTGTTGAAAGTATAAAAATCATATATGTTTTTAAAATACATTCGTAAACTTAGAAGCATGCGTTGCAGCATAGACTTTTAAAATTTTATAACAGGTTCGCTACTAAATTATAATTTTTTGTTCATCATGTCCGAGAATGAAGGAAGTCTTACTAGAAGAATTGCATTTGTCAATCCAAATGATTTGGACCTAACCGATTGCTGCCGAATCTGCAAATGTAGAGCAACTGTGGAAAATGGAATCAAATTGCGTCCACTTTTTAATGGCCGTCGTTTAACACGCATTATAGCCAATACGGTACACATCGAGGTATTTCAGACAAACACCCAATATGGCTTACATTAGTTATAGCTTTATTTTAATGCGCAGATTAAAGATGTTCAGGGCTTGCCACGTTTTCTTTGCGAGAAGTGTTTGACCATTTTGAAAACCTTTTCCATTTTTCAAGTGGATTTCCGACGTTCCGAAGAGGAATTTAAGATGGCAATCGAGGCACGCAGGACTTATCAGATGGACACCTTAATTGAATTTTCCACTGCCATCGAAATGGAAAAGCAAAGGGAAAACGATCAAAAAAACGCGGCACTTGTTACAAATTTCCTTAAGAAGGCGAAGAAGACTAGCAAATCGAAATCGAAACTTCAAAATTGAGTATTGAGCAACTAGTTAATTTGTTTGGCATTAGTTTTTATGTATTTAATTTTTTTTTGATTTTACAAACACTTGTCATTTTCAATTTTTAATACACAATTTTTCAATAAATTCAACAGCTAGGTTTGAAATTTTCGGGGCACTGATTTTCCACTTCACAATCACTAAAGGCTTTGTTCAAAGGCACCTCACAATCTGGTTTCTTCCCATCGAAAGAGCTGCTACTTGTCTCTGGGAACAACATGACCCCGTCGGCGGGCGACCATGCGCCGCTGCGAACCTGACTGTTGACCCATTTCAATTGCTTGTTAATCTGCAAAAATAGTCATATGATTAAATGTAAGGGCAGCCAACTAAAATCTCACCATTTTTGTCAATTTTTTTTGTTTTTTGTGGCTGAACAAATCTGCTGCAAAGTTAAAAATATTTTTTGGCCGCTTTTTAATAGCTTCCGTTACAATAACTCGTATTATAGCGCGTATCTGAAGTGAAAATCATATAAACATATGAGTACCATAATTAAAAACGATTTGAATACCTCTGGGTGTCGGCCCATGTATGTCCAATCGCCTTTGCGCAAATTTCTCGATATATTTTGAATGGTTTCATCAATTTGTTTTAAATCTTCTTCATTTGTGGCCTGATCCGGGTCCTCATCAGTTTCAACCGAGTCGGAATCATCATAGGGCTCTGACGCAAAGCGAATATCCATTATAATTTAGTTAGCAAACAATTTTATTGCATCCAAATTATGTAATGTGTCTAACCAAATTATTTTGTTGGCTGTTAAACAGCAGCCTACCTTACAAAGTAAACAAATTTTGTATCTATTTAATAAATACAAAAAATTAAAAAATAAACCCAGCCCGTGACAATGCTTAATTGCAGCATTGCCGTGACCAGGATTCGAACCTGGGTTACCACGGCCACAACGTGGGGTCCTAACCACTAGACGATCACGGCTACGCTGGGTTGTTGTGTGCCACTGACTAAAACGCACTTTTCAGAGACTGCGCCAAAAAGCGTACCCACAACTCACAATGAATTGAAAATAATTTGGTTGAAGAAAAATAAACAAGTGCAGTGCGTGATTTAACATTTACATATATTTAACAGAATTATTAGTTTTTTACGCTCAACTAATTTTCTTTTATGCTTACGATAAAATTTGTTTGTACTTAACAATTATAGCTTTTCAGAATTTGTTTTTATATTGACTTGAGGGTTACTTGTTGTGGCTGTGTTTGGCGCATTTACTGTATTTGTGCGCTCCCTGCGCTGCTTGAGGCGTTCCTGAAACTGTAACTTGAGCACTTCAATGGGTGTGTTTAGTGCAAAATTTATGTCAGGCAGCTAAAAATAGTTGTACTTGAATATTTTATGAAAAACTTCATACTTTGTGCATTCCTACCTGATAGGTGGCCAGCAAAAAATTACAACGCACACGCTCATTAGCAATTCGCTGAACAATCGCCTGCACCTCTTCCGTGTTTACCATATTTCCAATGGCAACTCTTAGGTTCTTGTTATCCTTCAGACGTTGGTCATCTTGGACAGATCGATTAACACCACTCTCGGTGGCCTCATCATCGAGCGGTATTGTCTCGAATTGTATTTCATTTTCGGCTGCATTGCGAACTGTATGTTGCGTTTTTCTCGATCTATGTCTCACTTGTTTGCTGTTTATTTCTATTGGAGGACAATTGCTGGATGCATCTGACGGTGAAAATCCAGATGTTCTGGTAGTGATTGTCTCTGCTGAACTAGGTACTGAGATTTTTCTTTGTTTTTCTGGCGTATGCTCGTTAATTTGACTATCGCGGGTTATTGATTTTGCCATAGCCGTTGCTGGTTCTGGCATATCGTCGTCGGAGTCTGGTATTTCAATGGAATTATACATGTTTTTCCACGTATTGGCGCTTCTTCTTCTTGCCGCGCAAAGTGGGGATGTTCATGTCGTATAGTTATTTGTATCGATTAATCGATACCTTTTATGCATTAATTGGCGGCTTTATATTTAAAAATTTTGTTAAAACTTGATTTATTTGCAACTAAGGATTTCTATAGATTTAATATTTCATTAGAAAAGCAGCTGCTGTGGTCGTTATGGCCTTATAAGACATTTGGCTACCAGTTTGCTTATTAGGACTCAATATAATAAAATTTAATGGTAATCCAAGATTTTTTATTGTAACGACAAGCTTGAATCATTTGTAAGACTCGGTACACCTAACACGATCAAACAATTTTTTATGTCTGTTAATTTAGATCATTTTTAACTCGATACATTTAGTACAAACTACAAGTGCTTCCTGTGGCGTCATCGATATTGCTATAGGGCGAGTGATGCCATACTTTCTGCTAAAAAGCAAAACATATCGATTCTGTGACACCACTGCTGGCAGCCAACAACAACACACACAAGAATCACACACATAGCTACGCTATTTTCTTAACGTGCGTAGGCGAATTTCTTAATTTTCGAATTAAGATCGACGCGAAATTTATGTAAAACCTTATTATTGCAATTGCATACACTTTGCTTGAGGCAATAGCAGACACGGCAACTGCAAATAAGGCGTTTTAACACACCAACAGCGCCACAATATGGGAAACACCGACTCCAAGCTGAACTTTCGCAAGGCGATTGTCCAGCTGACGCAGAAGAATCAAAAGATTGACAACAATGATGAACAGTTCTGGGAGCAATTCTGGCAGGCTCATCAAACGACGCTTGAGGATGTGTTTGCGCTGGTCACCGCTAGTGAAATACGTCAAATACGCAACGATAATCCCGCCAACTTGGCGACACTCTGCTACAAGGCTGTGGAGAAGTTGGCACAAGCCGTCGACAGCAGCTGTCGCACCCAGGCGGACCAACAGTGCGTGCTGAACTGTGTGCGTCTTCTGGTACGCATATTGCCTTACATTTTCGAGGATGATAAGTGGCGTGATTTCTTCTGGAGCAGTCTGCCCGCACAGGAGCAGGCCACTCATGGCCAAACAGTGCCGCTGGCGCAGTCGCTTCTAAATGCTATATGTGATTTACTCTTCTGTCCTGATTTTACGGTAACGGCAACACGTCGTGCGGGGCCAGAGAAGGCCGAAGAGCTGGCTAACATTGACAGCTGCGAGTACATCTGGGAGGCAGGAGTGGGATTCGCCCAATCACCACCGCGCAATGCACACATGGAACGCAGACGCACGGAGCTGTTAAAGCTGCTGCTTACCTGCTTCTCGGAACCAATGTACCGCAGCCCACAGCAATCGGAAGAGCCCAACAAATGGATTGCCTACTTTACCTCTGCGGATAACAGGCATGCGTTGCCACTGTTCACCTCATTTTTGAACACGGTGTGCTCTTATGATCCCGTTGGCTTTGGTGTGCCCTACAACCATCTGCTGTTTGCGGACACCACTGAGCCGCTAGTGGAGGCCTGTCTGCAGCTGCTGATTGTCACCTTGGATCATGACATGGTTGTGCAGCATCAACAGCAGCAGCAGGAACAACAACAACAACATCAATTAACCCATGCAGGTGGAGTGCTGGTCACACCCTACGATGAGGGCGGCTGCGGCGACAATCTATTCATAAATTACTTATCGCGTGTGCATCGTGATGAGGATTTCCATTTTGTGCTGCGGGGCATAACGCGCCTGCTCAACAATCCGCTGGTGCAAAACTATTTACCCAACTCAACAAAGCGGCTGCACTGCCATCAGGAACTGCTTATATTGTTCTGGAAGATTTGCGACTACAACAAGAAATTCTTGTATTTCGTACTGAAGAGCTCCGATGTGCTGGACATTCTCATACCCATACTTTATCATCTAAACTACTCACGGGCGGATCAATCGCGCGTCGGTCTCATGCACATTGGCGTCTTCATATTGCTGCTGCTCTCGGGTGAGAATTGTCCAGCTATGGATATGTTTTATATATATTCTAATCTGTTTCCTTTCGCCAGGTGAGCGCAACTTTGGCGTGCGTCTGAACAAGGCCTACTCGGCCACGGTGCCAATGGATATACCTGTTTTTACCGGCACCCATGCGGATCTGCTCATCACAGTGTTTCACAAAATTATAGCCACAGGCCATCAGCGGTTGCAGCCACTGTTCGATTGCCTGCTGACTATCCTGGTCAATGTGTCGCCTTATCTCAAAACGCTCTCAATGGTGGCCAGCGTGAAGCTGCTGCATTTGCTGGAGGCATTTAGCACACCCTGGTTTCTGCTCTCAGCGCCCAGCAATCATCATTTGGTGTTCTTTTTGCTGGAGATCTTTAACAACATCATACAGTACCAATTCGATGGCAACTCGAATCTAGTCTATACGATAATACGCAAACGTCATGTCTTTCATGCCATGGCCAATTTGCCCACGGATATGGCTGGCATATCCAAGTGTCTGAGTGGACGCAAAACAGGTAGCAAATTCAATTTGCCGCGCGTGCCGCAGCGCAAACAGGCAGCGGCCATGACCAGTCAGGAACTGCCTTCGGCTCAGGTGCCCGACGAGTATGCCGAGGAGGAGGATGAAGACGAAGATGATGAAGGTGCTGATGTAGACATTGGCCGCATGGATAAGGAGGCGACAGCCGAGGAGGATCTCGAATCGGAAACGGAATCGCATGAACGTTCGCAGCTGGGTGACACACAGCTGGACCCGGTTGCAGCGCTGACGGCACAACCCGCCGAGCCGGGAACGCTTAAAACCTCGCTGCTTGAAACGCCAGACATTGGTCAAATGACCGAGCGCGAACAGGCGCATCCCAATGAAAAAACGGACCTAACGCCGTTTGACAAGTCGCCCGTAGGGTCACCGCGCGCAGCTGGCGCCAAATCCACATCGCCGACGCTGTCACGCGATGATCAGACGCGTCTCTCGGTGGCACATCGCTCCAGCATACGAATGGTGCCAGGCGATGGTGATCGCTGGACGCCCACACCCGAGTGGATTGTCTCGTGGCGCTCAAAGCTGCCGCTGCAGACCATTATGCGTTTGCTACAGGTGCTCGTGCCACAGGTGGAGAAGATCTGCATTGACAAGGGCCTCACCGACGAATCGGAGATACTGAAATTCTTGCAGCATGGCACTCTGGTAGGTCTGCTGCCCGTGCCGCATCCCATACTAATACGCAAATATCAGGCTAATTCCGGCACCACCGCTTGGTTTCGCACCTACATTTGGGGCGTCATTTATTTGCGTAATGTGGAGCCAGCCATATGGTATGATACGGAGGTCAAGCTCTTTGAGATACAGCGTGTCTAAAACTCTAGTAAGTGGAACACCAAACAGCAACTTTAAAAAAACAAACAACAACTACAATAATAGCAGCAACAACATCAACAAAAGGAACATAGCTTACCCAAAAAATACAAAATCGCTTTTGCATTTACTGTAGTTTATTTATTTAATTCATAGTCCATTCCAAAAATTTATGATGTATGAAATATCAATGTTTTAAAGGGTTTTCATTTAAAAAAGAAAAGCATAATGCTGATTCATCAGTTAGGCGTCGGCGTCGTCAGAACAATCCATTAAACACCATTTGAAGCTTTATCAGTTCTGACATAGCATGAGTTTTTTTTTTGTTTGTTATCAGCTTTTTTAATTTGTTTTTATCAGAATCGTTTTCAAATCATTCAATGCTTTTAACAATTCAATTATTTTGTATTCCTATAATAGTTTTATTTTTAATAGACAATGTTCCTTGTGCCGTATTTGTAGAACTTTGCTTAGTTAATTTATTTGTTTGTCTTAGTTTCTATTTATTTATTATAGTTTTGCTTTATTTCAACACAAACTCAATAGCTATTTGAAATAGTCTAGAAAATATGTTGTAAAGCCCGTTTAGATCTAGTTAAATCTTAAGATTTAGCTGTCTGATAATTTGCGTACGCCGTGCAATTCTTTTAAACATTGTATTTCTAAACAAATTATATTCCACTATACAAAAACCCGAATTAATTTATTTTTAATAACCAACATCAAGCTTTATTTATATTTTTTGTGTAATTAGCTTATATTGTGCAATGTCAGTTTTTCTAATGGTTCGATATATATATATATATGTACTTAGATTGCCTTATTATTTATTTTAATAATTGAATATAGTTTTAAAATTTAATTGTATTCAAAATTAGCTGTGCTTTTAATTCAAATACATTTTTAATATATCCTCGATCATAAAAAGTAAAACAAATTATAAATATTATATGTATATTCAAAAGATGTTGCACTATATTATTAAGTGTGCGTATAAATAAATAAACGATATTTAAAGTCCTGTAGAGGTTTGCTTTTTATACCTTTACAGTTTATTACATTTGTTTTTGTCATTATGCATCTTATCAACGTCGAATCGCGCTATCATACAGCGTATATAAAGAATTGGAGAAATATAAAGAATAACTACGAAAATAACGCATGCAGACCCAATCTCGCAACATTTGGTAAAAGTTAACAACTTTAATCAAACATTGCAGAAATGAGATTAAATTTTATTTAATAATATAATTTATATAAACTAAAAAACACAAAAAAAAGGGAAAACTATCAACTGCTGCGATCATTTCTACAATACGTGCGTATCCAAAAGACATACTTCAAGGCGAATATGAACAAGAATGAGACAAAGGCGACCATCACAGGCCTTTTAGAGTCCGGGTGGGCTTTATCATTGCTGCGCTGCACGGTGGAGTAGTTGTGCTTTGTCTGGCCTATGTCTAGATGTGCGATCATGAAAGGTAACACCATTAGTATTTTATATGCGATGACGTGCGTCCTGAACCACAGTGGTTGTCACGACTGTTTTACAGTGGCTGACGACGGGGATGACGGCGGCGTCGTCGTTGTTGTTGTGCTAGCTTCAGCAGCAGCTGCTACAGGCATTATGCTAAATTTGATAAAACTGCCCTTTTGACGCTTTTGCACAATTTTTCCAAGGATTTGCGGCTCCTTGATGGTCGCTTCAATTGTCTTCACAATGCGCTCCGCATTGCCCTCATCGGCGCCACTCGCATTGCCCTGTATGAGAATGCGCACCTCGTGACGCTTGTTTAGCCATTTGGTAATGTTCTTCAGCCTGGAGGCCAGATCATGGTCGGTAATGCGAGCGCCAATGGTTAGGGATTTCTCCGACTTCTTGTTGCCTTTATCTCCAGCACTTGATTTAGCGGCGCCTTTGCCCTCCGACTCATCTGCTAAAATTTCGGCAGATGTGACCAATCTGTAAAGAGCGTCTTTTTAGTATGGTGTACCTATAATTGGTAATCTTGGGCAACTCACTTGAAAATAACGCGTCCTGTTTTTGCGTCCGGCTGTTGCAAACGCAGCAAATGTAAATCACGCCGCTTTGCCAACTTCTGTGCCTCATCCAATGTAGTGATGCTTATGGACTGGTTTGGTGAAATAAGCGTAATTTTTTGCTGTTGTCGATTTGCTTTTTGCTCATCTGATTTTGTTTTGGTTGTCGTTGCTTGTGTAAGATACCGATGAAATGTTAAGCTTGGCATTTGTTGTGGCTGCAATGTGGAAGCATCAATCACTTTCGGATATTTAGGTATTTGAAGTGCCAGAGAACGTAGCGCTAACAAATTGCGTATCATTGTTAAACGATGCTGTTGCATTTCCGTATTGCTTTTTGTGTCTGTTCAATTTATTTCGCAAATTTTACTGTTCAATGCGGCAGAGTTGTCAATATATACCAAAGCTAAAATTTATCGCCTTTGAGCTGGAATAATTTACTGAATGTATTCGTTTTAATAATTGCATTAACATAACACAAATTACTAACAGAATTTTGAAATAATAGTACTAATAAAATGATAAAGTTGAATTGAAGGCTTTTAAATGTAACTTGTAGTGCTTTTGTACTTGAGTACTTATCGAGTATAATTTATTGTTATCGAGCTTTGTGCGATAACTTGCAATCTTTTTCAACTTTAACGGTAGTACATACATACATACATACAACCACATTTGTATTTTGTTTATTGAGAGTTGTATGTCCTATTAATCTAATTTACACTACGCAAAAATAAAAATAAATGTACTATGAAGTACATATATCTTAGTTATATTTCTCACTCATCGGCCCCACTGCCGATTGCCATTATTTCTTCTGCTGGAGTAAACACTTCGCTCCACATCCCGATACCTTTGCTGCGCCCGCTGCGATGCTAAAATAATTTGGCATTCCTGTGAGATGGACCGTTGCTCCTGTATCTGCTGGAACTCGGGTCGGCGGCACTCCTCACACTCCTCCCACTTGTTAAACTTGTTAACGTTGCGATCGCACGGATCGGCCGCAAATAACATACACTCATCGACACAGAAATTGTAGAACCAAAAGTGACCCACAATCGTTTGATTTTTGCAGCGCGGCTGATTGGTGCGCAGCATTTGGAAGCAACGCATGGACATGTATGTATCCATATTTTCTTCTGCACCAAGATTTGCTTGATCCAAGTTTCTGCCTTGGTTGTTTATCACGTTGTTTGGCCTAATCCAAGGCATGCGCTGCTGCTCAGCGTCCTGCTCGGCAATTGGATGCATTTGAGTCATGACTCTGTTGCCATCATGTTGTTGCTGTCCAGCGTAGCTCAGCTGCTCATCCTCTCCGTAGTTGCTACTGGGTAGTCTGCGTTGCCATGGCGCCCGTTCCACATCCTCCAGCCTTGGCGTTTGTCCATAATTCATTGCGTGGTTGTTATCCGGCCGGTGCAACATTGTTAGCTGTGGCATTTTGCGTTTTGGTGGCCGCTGCGCATCTTGGCCCCACTGAGCTTTGCTGCCTTTCAAATTGCCTACCTCAAAGCCGTTTGCTCTGCGATCATAATCTGTTTGCTCCTCGTCGTAATCTCTATTAAAGTTGTTGTTGTTATTGTTGTTGTCTCTGTCATAACTTTCCAGATCGAGCTCTGGCTCTGCTTGGTTGCGCTCCCGTTCCTCGTATGGTGCCTGTATGTCGCCACCGGGCAAATTACCCATACAAGCTCTGCCCGCACATTTACGCATCTCCTGCAGCTCCAGCCTATGCACGCTCTGGCATTTCAGCTCAGCGCTGGGATTAATATATTGTCGCTGGCGAACCTGATAGCCCTCGCCACAGGTGACGCTGCACGTGCTCCAAGAGCTCCAAGCCGTCAACTGACATTCAGCGCGTCGCTGATACTGATTGGGCTGCAGGCCCATTTTCAGTTCGTCGTAGTCGCCGACGTTGCGCATTGGTTCGCTTAGTCCGCAGACTTGTCCCTCGCAAGCGTGCTCCTCATATTGTGGCACATTGCAATTGTTAATCCTAGCCAGCTCAGGCTGTTTGTATACACGTCTTCTATACTGCATGCCCTCACCGCATTTGGTGGAGCAATCGCTCCAGCCGGACCAGGGATGCGTTAGACACTCACGTGGAACATCCACATCGTTGTTGGCTTGGGTAAACGTTAGTTAATATATTAATTTGAATACACCCTTAATACATAAAGCTACTCACATTCTTCATCCACACAGCGCCTCTCGTAGATGCGTTGACGTCGCACCGTTAATACGGCCATGGGTTTCATGGGAGCACCCGAATCATCGTAGAAGGGTGATCGCGGATCATTGGGAAAGTCAGAGCGTATGCGTCTGATGACATCCGGCGGCACCTGTGGCTGATCGGGGGACTAGATCACCCACGAGACTTATTAGTTTTTAGCATAAACGCACTCATTTACTTACCGTATAACTGGGTCCTGCATCGGTGCCCACATCCCAGGGATACAAATTGATAACCTTCGTCTCCAGCCACGTGCAATTGCGCAGACACAACTCCAGCCCGCTAACGCCCACAATCCAGTCTGGAGAGGGCTCAATTTTGGAGGCAAATGACACCATGTGATGCACTGGATCCACACGCACCGATGCTGTCGTTTTGCTGTTCAAGTTCGGAAAGGCGGGCCCACGTGCCTTGATTATGGTGCGTATTTTTTGATCCTGCAATATAATTCTATTAATATTTCCCACAACTTTTTAGGCTAGCCAGACTCACGCGAAAGTTAATGCTAAATTCACGCTCGAGCATTCTGGAAGTGCAGTGCTCAGCATATTGCTTGACTCCTTCGCTGGCCAACGCACCTGACTCCCAAAATCGATAGTCGGAACTATGTGCGGCGCCCACCAGCTCACAAAAGCGCGTCTCCCAGCCGCGCGCTGGAAAATCTTTTGGATGCAAATTACGTGACCAGACGCCCTCGAATGTTAGCTATAAAGGATTTGCTTAATTTGGTAAGTTACAGGGCCAAGTTATGAATTCAAATAATGCATTTGGGGTGAACCATAGCAGGACAATAATGTGTTTGTCCTGACGGACTGACTGATAGCCTACAGATGTAACAAAATTATGTCCCATTGGACAAGTCCTTTGTTATCTTGGGAACTTAGATTTACATTATAAGGATTTCCCAAAAAGTTCCTTGACTCACCTCATATCGCGCCTCATCACAGGCACAGCAAGGACTGTTCAAAGAACTGGTCGTGGGTTGACTTTCCACATCATCCACTACCTCCTCGCATATGCGTCGCGTTAGT